TCAGTCCACCCCTCCTCCACCCCCCTCCCTCTAACCTCCTCCCCGTTGTCCATCCTCAGACATAGACGAGTGCCAGCAGTCGGGAGGCCGACACGGCCATCACTGTAGCGTCAATACAGAGTGCGTCAACACACCAGGCTCCTACCGCTGTGACTGCATCAAGGGACACAACCGACTCGACTCGTATGAGTGCAAAGGTACCTCCAACTCTGCGTCCGTGTGTTCTTTCCGACCTGCCCATGTCCTGTCCCTCCCCTTAGCAGTGTCCCTCCTAGTCACGCTACTGTGCCTTAAACTTTGCAGTAGGGCAGGAGGAGTGTGAGTAGGCCATATACTCTCCCAGATTTTGTCTACTTGTTTTAATGTTCTCGCTCTTGACTAAACTCGAGAGGCAAAAGCTCAAGATAAACGAGGCAAACTGTCTCCAGGTTAGGCGAGGACTGGAGAGTGTCCATACGTCGGAGGTCCACAACAAAATCAGGGATATCAGCTTGTCAAAGATTCCAGTGAGACAGTGCGAGCTGCGTGCGCCACACGGCTGCCTTCTTCAAGCTTTATCTCGCTCGCACTCTCTTCCAAAGATTTTGCCATCACCATCCATTAACCAAAATGCTACACTCAGCAGAGCTGCTGCCCTCGTGGCTTCAAGGTGTCCGTACTGGGCTGAGATGTCCGAGTAGTGGGGGCTTTGTTTTGCCGGCCATATTATTTCAGTTGCCAGACAAATACTATTGTGCCCGCGTCAAATTAAATGACTGCATGGCAATTCTTGGGGCTGAAAGATCTGTGGTCACTGTTCGGGCAAATGTATGTCCTATAATAGGCTTGTTTGGTCCGCAGTTCGGCCACTGGTGTCCTTCCAGCGAAGCCTGGGAGGTATCTGCCGGCCATTGCAGGCTGGCCACAACGATCTCAATATATTCTGAGACGGACAAATTATTTGTTTGATTTCGCTGGAGAAGTATCAGTTTTACAATGGCGTCTGACGCTGCGTCACCGTGACGTGTCGCCCTGCGTCACGCTGTTCCCCTTCTCAGTAACGTCTGACCCAGGCTATGGGAAGCTGTTGATCGTAATGCTAATCGGAAAGAGGCGACAGATCGTGTATGCTACTTTTCCAACGGAAGATGTGATGTAGTAGATCAAAGACAGAATACCTTATATGAGGCTTCAAGGAAGTCTGATTTTAAGATGATTTTGTGTATTATGACCAGATCCTTTTAGATTCACTAAGCCTATTCGATGATTTTACTGGAAATATGCTTAGCACACGCGTGTCCTATGTTAGCTTTTGCACAATTTTACAAGGTCTTTCAGAATGTGAGACGTGAGTACTGTAACAAGCAACTCTAAAACCGGAACAGTGCAACCCACAGGTTAAGGGCTTATACCCTACCCACCCACACGCTCTCATACAGATGTACACACACACACACACACACAGACACACACACACACACACACACACACACTCACTCGCACACACACACACACACACACACACA